TAGAGGCCTGTACCTCTCGTTCCTTTACGACTTTTCTAAAGTGGTTTACAACATTGTCATTGTAATAGTCACCAGCACGGCTTGCAATAGCTGTGTGAGGGTGATTGTCATCCATAAAGGTTTTCACCTTTGTCCACATTGTACACATTTCTTTAATCTGTGAAGTAGGCAACTTCTTCAATTTCTCTCTCCCGTCCTCCGGAGCAGTTTCCTCAGGTCTGGCCTCTTGCTGTTGAAGATGATCTAGCAGCTCATCAGTGATTAGTTCGTCATTGTCCTCCTCCACCAACTCTTCCACATCCTCCCCACTAACCTCAAACCCCAAGGACTTCCCCAATGTCACAATGGATTCCTCAAGTGGCATAGGATTCCCAGGGTTAGCCTCAAACCTATGTACGCTCTAATGATCTCCGCAATCCTTCCATTTATAGAATGGTCACTGATATTAGTAGACATTCATTATTTGTTCGCCGCCCCTGTTTACTCCGTCCCTTCTCTCTTCGCCTACATTCGCTCTTGTCTTCTCTTCAATTACCACATTTCGATGTTCATGTAGCATCTCACTTTTCCCTACCCCCCTGGGAAGTTCCATCTGTTCGAGTCTGTTCTTTCTCTCTCTCTTGCTCGAAAGCCCAACTGTCTATGGTCGCTTCCCGCTCTCTTTTTCTTGACCACTTCCACTCTCATTCTCATGCCATTGCAGTGTACACAGATGGCTCTAAGTCTTCTGATGGCGTAGGATTCGCAGCAGTGTTTCCGGACAGCGTCGTACGAGGGCATTTACTATCTTCGGCTGGTATTTTTACTGCTGAGTTGTATGCCATTCTTGCAGCACTTATCCGTATTGCATCTATGCCTGTGTCATCATTTGTGGTTGTCTCAGATTCCCTTAGTGCTTTACAGGCTATACAGAAATTTGATACACCTCACCCCTTAGTCCTCCGTATCCAACTTTGGCTACGCCGCATCTTTACCAAGCATAAAGATATTGTTTTTTGTTGGGTCTCTGGTCATGTTGACGTACAGGGCAATGAACAGGCAGACACTGCTGCGCGGTCAGCAGTACATGACCTACCAGTTTCATATAGAGGCATTCCATTTACGGACTATTTTGCTGCAATGGCTACCCACCTTCACACCCGTTGGCAACAAAGTTGGTCTACTGTGCTCGGTAACAAACTTCAATCTATTAAACCGAGTACATGTATAGGTTACTGGCCGTCTTCTTGTCACCAGTGTCGAGGTTGGGAGACTACTCTCTCCCGTCTTCGCATTGGCCATGCTCGTCTTACTCATGGATATCTCATGGAGAGGCGCCCTGCTCCTCTCTGTGAGAATTGTCAGGTTCCATTATCAGTCAGCCACATTCTGTTAGACTGCCCACTTTATCAACGAGCACGCAGAATTTACCTCCGTCGTCGTCTTCGCTCCACTGCTCTCTCTTTACCTTCCCTTCTCTCTGATGGACCCACCTTTCATCTGGACTCTCTCATTGACTTTTTGACAACAACTAGTGAGAGAAAGCTGGTAGGCCTACATATGAAAGAATGGGTCTATGTGGTCATTGTGCGCGGTATAAAAAAAATACTGCAGCACACAATGCATAATGAGAAAAAAAACTTTGACCGTGTTTTTGGATTAAAACAGCGACTTTGCACTGTATTTTTGTATGGTATTTATTGTTGTATTCTAGTTTTCCTGGTCTCATTTTATAGAATGGAAAACATATTACAGAAATTGAGATGATTTTGACTGGTTTTACAAAGAAAAGTACGTACCTTGAAATTGAGCTCAAAGTAGCAGAAATGTTCGATTTTTACCAAAGTTCAAAAGTAAACAAATCATGCTATGCTTCCAATACACGTCATCTGGTGAGTCTAATATTCTTTCAAAAGTGTGCTGATATTATTTATACCATTTCTACACTAATGCAGTAGTCTGCATAACAGTAAATCTTCTATTTTTTTTTTGTGATAATAAAAATTCAAAGTGGAAAGCAAAAGAATGTAAGAGGGGCATGGGGATGTGACTAATGAACAGAGGAAATGTTATTTTAGTGCCAGGAATGTCTTTCTTGTTTATTCTGGACCCTATTCGAAATTGGCAACTTTTGAAATTTGTGTGAAACTGGCAAAATTGCTAAATTCTGAACACTGTATTGGATAGCTGAAATCGGTAAATGGGTGGTTTCTTGTACTCATTCGATAGAAAAAAATGGAGTTCTAGCAAAATAGTTATGATTTTTGTCGACAAGTACACTGGAATTGGCTGAAAATAGGGCTCAAAGTGGGCAAAATTGCCGATGCGTAAACATCGTCGAGACAGCTAAATTTGCGAGAGCATAATTCCGTAAGTTTTCCATCAAATTTCATACTTTTAGTGTCATTATGATTGGGAAAAGATTATCTATTTTTTCATAATAATTTTTTTTTTATTTATTTAAATTTGGCCGACCCTGAGAACAAGTCTCTGAGAGGGCCTGTCGACCCTGAAAATGTTAAAGATAAGTGCCATTTTAGTAATATTTTACTCTGCATGTCTGTTTTCTGTGTAGGGAAATGTACATTTCACGTAAAAAGTTATTTTGTTTAATACTTTTGGGTGTTTGGAACGGATTAACCCTTTCATGGCTGACAGGCCCTCTCAGAGACTTGTTCTCAGGGTCAGCCAAATTAAAAAAAAAAATATTTTTATGAAAAGATAGAGAATCTTTTCCCGATCATAATGACACCAAAAGTATGAAATTTGATGGAAAACTTATGGAATTATGCTCTCGCGAAGTTAGCGGTCTCGACGATGTTTACGCATCGGCAATTTTGCTCACTTTGAGCCCTATTTTCAGCCAATTCCAGTGTACTTGTCGACAAAAATCATAACTATTTTGCTAGAACCCCATTTTTTCTATCGAATGAGTACAAGAAACCACCCATTTACCGATTTCAGCTATCCAATACAGTAGTCAGAATTTAGCAATTTTGCCAATTTCACACAAATTTCAAAAGATGCCAATTTCCGAATAGGGTCCAGAATGAAGAAGAAAGACATTCCTGGCACTAAAATAACATTTCCTCTGTTCATTAGTCACGTCCCCATGCCCCTCCTACATTTTTTTTTTTTTTTACACAGGGTTTGACAAGGTTAAGGATCTCTAGCTTTATTGACAAGCTATTTACAGGTTAAGGATTCCTAACTTTATTGGCAAGCTAAGAGCTGTTACCTACATCAGCTCATTTGAAAGCATTTTTATTGTTATGAGACATACAAGTAGGGAACAGGATGAAGTTGGAGCCATCTGTGGGCCAGCATTTTCATTTGATCAACTGACTGTCTCGTTGACATCATTTTGCTGTACGAATGTGTTCCATACTCGAGTCATCCTGGGTATATATGATCTCAGATGGAGTGATTTTCTGGAGAAGGGTACAGCCAGAGTAAAGTTGCTGCTTTCTGCCCTTCTTGTGGCATAAAAGCTTGTTTCACGCTGCCCTCGAAGTGGATCCAAGTGTGGTACTTTGACAATATTGGCCTTGTACATAACAGTAAGGCCACCCACATCCCTCCTATGTTGAGGGCTCTGCTGAAATGACAGATCTATCCAGGATGGGTCCAGGCGAGAGATGAGACGTCTTACTCTGTTCTCTACTCTTTCAAGCAGTCGCAGATGAGAGGGGGGGGCAGGCAATTTTTGCTTTCAACTTTGAATTTTTATTCTCACAAAAAAATAGAAGATTTACTGTTATGCAGACTACTGCATTGGTGTAGAAATGGTATAAATATTATCAGCACACTTATGAAAGAATATTAGACTCACCAGTTGACATGTATTGGACTCATAGCATGATTTGTTTACTTTTGAACTTTGGTAAAAATCGAACATTTCTGCTACTTTGAGTGCAATTTCAAGGTAGTTTTCTTTGTAAAACCAGTCAAAATCATCTCAATTTCTGTAATATGTCTTCCATTCTATAAAATGAGACCAAGAAAACTAGAATACAACAATAAATACCATACGAAAATACAGTGCAAAGTCGCTGTTTTAATCCAAAAACACGGTCAAAGTTTTTTTTTTCTCATTATGCACTGTGTGCTGCAGGATTTTTTTAATACCACGCACACTGACCACATAGACCCATTCTTTCATATGTAGGCCTAAGAGCTTTGTCTCACTAGATTTGAGGGCGCTAGAATTTAGGTGTACTAGTACGTCAAAAACCCTGGTGCGTAAGTCGTACTAGTACGGCCGAAACTTTGAAAGGGTTAATTGAATTCCCATTATTTGTTATGGGGAAAAATTAATTTGGACGAAGTCAGATTCGGTGTAAGACACTCTCTCTGGACCAGATTAATTATGTTATCCAGGGGTCCACTGTACATGCATGTGTTGTGTGACCTAAATGTAAGTAGAAGTAGCAAGATGTACCTGAAATCTTGCATGTTTATGAGATGGAAAAAGATGCCAGCAATCCTACCATCATGTAAAACAATTACAGGTTTCCATTCTACATTCACTTTGCAGGATGGTTGTATTTCTCTGGACAGTTGCTGTCTACCAACCTACTACTTGGGGCTGTTCCTTTTCATCTAGCAATAAATAGGTAACTAGTCACCTTTTGTGGGTGGCAACCAGAGTTGATTGAGACATTTGGACAACATCATAAACCTGTTGCTCCTGTGTAGGTAAATAGGCAATTGTTGTGGGTGGAATCATTGGGATGACAGTAGTTTACTTTAAATAGAATTGGGCTTTGAAATAACCTGAGGTAAGAGAACAGCTCTTAGCCTGAATGTACACAGTTCATGTGAAGTGCTACACCTGTGTAGGCCTTTCAGTGTGATGATGCTGCTCTATGACCCCCTATAGGTTTAGTGGTTTCCCAGGAATGTAATAATGTTTTATAATGTAGTTGCATTGCTTAATGACCATGGCAGGTTTAATGTTTTTAATAATAATAATAATAGTTATTTCTGTATATTGTACTACACTGTATAATTTTTTTTAGGTTTATGAAGTGTGTGAGCAAGTGGGAGAAATCATCAATCATTGGCCAAAGAGAGAGTGGGGTCCAGTTGGTGAAGGGTCCATTGGGGTTGTGACACCTTATGCTGACCAAATGGTTCGCATTAGAGCTGAGTTGAGGAAGCGCAAACTGTACAAAATTAACGTGGAAAGAGTTCTTAATGTGCAAGGTTAGTGTATTTTAGCCTTGAATGAGTTATAATTTTTTTTACCCTTCAGACTAAGATGCCTTGATGCTAGTGAAGGACTCTTGATCCAAGGAAGCTTTCCTTCCATGCTTCAAATCAGTCTTGATTACCTCTCATTTTTTTAGGTGCCATGTGACCTCTACAGCTTAACTTTTCCCATTAACAGAATAATTTTTACAATTTCTGTTTGTGTACTTTCCTGATGGTTGGGTTTGCAAGGGTGAAGTCAGAACTCTTACACTACCTCTTGACTCCTATTGACAGCCATCACCAACTTCAGGCCTCCAGGGACCAATTATTACTGCTCTTGAAACTGCATATATTGTTTACCTCCACCACATTTCACTTAACACTCAAAGAATGGAAGAGTACTTCCTAACTTCCCTACAACTCATATCTGAATTTACTGTGTGCTTGGTATTACAAATTATTATTTTTTCACTGAGGCAGGGTGACATGAAAAAAGAAGAAACAAATTTAGTAATTCATACAGGAGAAGGAGTTACTGGCCCCATGCTCCTGGCATTTCAGATGCCTCTTATGACACACATGGTTTGTGGAGAAAGAATTCTTCTCCACTTGCTTGTGGAGACAAATAATTTGACTCATAATTCAAGAATTACCTACAATGCTGCGAGGTGTTGACATGAGCCAGGTTGTGGTAGCTATGTATACCTGAAGTTGACTAGCAGCAAAAGCCTAGTTGATCAGGCAGTCAGCAGTGAAGTCTGGCCCCAGGCTCAATTTCAAAAGCCGGACAACTTTGAAAACCAGCCACAAGTATGTCACATATATGACATGGCTGAGGGTCTGAATGAGTCACAATTTGTCTGTGTACCTAAGTACACAGTACAGTACGCAGTACAGTCCTAGAATAATTTATAATGGAAGTCATGCTGCTGTAAGTGTAAGTCTTTTAAGTACTAAAAAATAAATATGTGGATCTTGAAGTTTGATGTTTGTCAGTGATATGTTACAATTTTTGGTTTGTTTGTAATTCTTCAGAGGGGAAATACTTTGATGCTGACAAATGGCTCATGATCCAATGAATTGGTGCTATCCTCCTTTTCCTTGGATCCAACATAATTGCCTCTACCCCTATTCTCTAGTTGCTGCATAACACTTATAGGTTTAGTGCTCTTCCATGAATTTAATATGCAATAATTTATCCATTTGTAATACTGATACTTGATTACTTTTTAAGGGAAGCAGTTCTGAGTGATCGTCCTGTCAACAGTGCACACACATCACACATATAAGGCAGGAGACTGATATATGTCTTCTTCTTTAGGGAAGCAGTTCCGAGTGATCATCTTATCAACTGTGCGTACACGTCACACTTGTAAGGCAGGAGATGAGGGATTAGATTTTGGGTTCCTCTCAAATGCCAAGTTATTAACCACTGCCATCACTCGAGCCCAGAGTCTTGTTGCTGTTGTTGGAGATCCAGTTTCACTCTGTTCTGTTGGAAAATGCAGGTTTGAACCTTTTTTTTTCTTTACCAGAGAAGAAATACATTCACCATCACTCATTTAATACCTGATTTGTTGCAAGGGCATGGACGTCACACTTGAATCATTAAATAAAATCTAAAGACAAATTAGGATCTTCTTTCAACAAACTGGCTGTATCCCACCAAAGCAGGGTGGTCCAGAAAGAAAAAGGAAAGTTTTTATTTTTAAATTTAGTATTTTATACAGGAGAAGGGGTTACTAGCTCCTTACTCCCAGCATTTTTAGTCGCCTCTTATGACACGCATGTTTTATGGAGGAAGAATTCTGTTCCACTTCCCCATGGAGAACAAATTAGGATATGTATACAAAATCTTGTAATAGATATTCCTCTTTTATTTTTGGTACAATAGTTTTCTCCTTTATGCTGGTTTATTTACTTCCAGTATAAGATACTGTCTTACATAGCATTACACTGTTACTTTGTATTGCAGCCACTCCTCACTTAGCGACATACTCGTTTACCAACGACTCAGACTTACGACGGGCTCTCTGACCAGTATACATACCTAAATAATGTAAATTAGAGCTGATTTCCTGTAGTCTGTTTATTACAATATACAGTACGCTGGTGTATAAACATTTAAAAATATACCAGAAATGTTTTCTGTGGTGCAAAAGTGACATTAAAACAGTATCAGAGATGACTGACACAAACCCACTATCATTACGTATAGTGTGCTCCTCACTTAGCGACGAATTCATTTACCAATGTGATGTTAGGAACGGAACTCTGTCATTAAGTGAGGAGAGGCTGTATTTTCTATTACGTTGTGGACCTTGAGTGCTAGTTTTCATATTTCTCTGTTCATTTATCATCACTCATCTAGGCTTATATAGAATGTCTATACCATATGTCTCAAATATACTCCTATGTATGTATTGTGATATCCAGTGCTGTATGTCATTTTCTGTTTTGAGAGTTGTAGCAGTTATTGAGTCTGATGGAGATATGCCCTGGGTTTCAAAATCAGATTTGATGAACTAGATACTGAATGAGTAATGGTAAATGTTTTCTTCTTTTTGATGGAAAATGGTAATAAAGAAAAATCTTTAAGGATTTAGTAGGCTAAGTGATCATGCAGTATTGTGCCTTGTTGTGAGTATTATATACTGTAAACATCATATGTGTTAGTACTGGAATCTTAACCCCTTCAAGGGGATGTTATGTTGATGTTGAAAAGTTCTTGATCTAAGGAAGTAGAGCTGCCCTCCTTGTATCAAACCTTATTGCCTCCCATTATACAGGCATTGTATTACCCCTGCAGATTTAGTGCCTCCCCGTGAATAGTAATAATCTAGAAACTCCATTGCATTTTTATATCAAATGATAAGCATTGTTTCTTTTTAATATCTTGAGATTTTCAATGAAGTTACTTCATTTACTTTATATTTTATTCTGAAGATCAAATTATGAAACCTCTGACAATCAAAAAATGCATGTTGGATTAAGTTTTTTTGTATTGTTACTTTAATCTAAGAAAGGCATTTATAATACCTATCTTCCCACAGGAAACTTTGGGAGAGATTTCTACAATTATGCTCAGAGGCTGGATCACTGTATGGAATATCCTGGTCTGCTTTACGAGCACAGCTGGATGGCGTCGAACTTAAGAAGACTTATGTGTTAAACCCACTAGCTCCTGAATTTATTCCTCGTTATCTTTATTATTCTCCTCTACCACCTTTGCCAGTAGTATCAGCAATGCCGCCATATGTGAGTATGTATCCTCCATACATACCCACATACCCTATACATCCTGTGATGGGACCTCAGGCATTGCCTTATATTCACCAAGCTCCTATGCCTCCTCAGTGGTCTCCAGTGCACTATAGTCCTGCTTCTAAGACACAAATAGCTAGACCTGCGCCTGGTAGACTTGGCCAACCTCTCATTGCGTCTCACACCTTACGTCCAGCAGTAGTCACAGCAGCACCTGCAACCTACATAGATCCTCATGGGTTTGATTATTCATTACATCCTGGAGTTGTTTCAATGTATCCCTATCAGCCTGGCAGTATTCCTCACCGTGTGCCGCCAGTGCGACGAGCTACTGAACTAGACCCTTTCAACCGTGGCACGTACATGCCGGCACTTCCAGCTCCCTATCAAAATTTAAAACAAGTACCTCCTCCCAATATATTAACACAGCCTCCTGGAATACGATGCTCTCGCTTTGGTCGTTCATTAGCTCTTCCTACAGCTCATATTGGTAGGGTAACACCACAGAGTGAAGGAGAAAAGTCGTATCAGTTCTTGAACAATGTTCATTTTCCAGAACGCCAACTATCTTCTAATCCATCATCTCTCATCTCTCGGTCGATATGCTCTCGAACTGAGACTGAATCACCACTGTCGACACAATCTAGAGAGAGGTAAGTGTTGCACTTTTTTTTTTTTTCTAGTATCATTGCAGTTACATGTAAAGTAAAGCATGTAGTGTGCTTGAATCTCTCCTCACTTAACCACTGAAAATAAGATGAACAGGCAGTTCAAATATGGGGCGCAGTGGAAAAATAAACACAAATGCAGAATAATGCAATCCTTTATTGACGACATTTCGCCCACACAATTCACAAACAAATCTACCCTTGATAAAGCCACTGTGTGGGTGAAACATAGTCAATAAAGGATTGCATTACACTGCATTTGTCTATTTTTTTATTGTGTCAGTATTTTATACCATTTATCTCTATGTGGTGCAGTGGTGGATAGTCTGTTTTAAATATGTGTGAAATGGAATTTGGTGTTTAAATATGTGTGAAATGGAAGCCTGCTCTGAGACTGGACTGTGGGGAAGATAATCCCCATGGACTAAGACTGTACCATGGGGTGGAGAAGATAATCCCTATGGACTGAGACCAGACCATGGGGAAGATAATCTCCATAACCTCTAACAAATATAAATCTGTAATTGACTTAAGAGTTATACAGTGTTATAATTCTTGAAGATTTGTAATATATTTTATCTGATATTGTATAGGGTAGAATGGAAATAATAAATAATTTTGATTAGATACAGGAAGAGCTATAGTACCTGTGCAGTATATAAACTTAGGTTACAGTGGTTTTGATGAGTTCATTACCTGGAGTTTACCTGGAGAGAGTTCTGGGGGTCAACGCCCCCGCGGCCCGGTCTGTGACCAGGCCTCCTGGTGGATCAGAGCCTGATCAACCAGGCTGTTGCTGCTGGCTGCACGCAAACCAACGTACGAGCCACAGCCCGGCTGATCAGGAACTGACTTTAGGTGCTTGTCCAGTGCCAGCTTGAAGACTGCCAGGGGTCTGTTGGTAATCCCCCTTATGTGTGCTGGGAGGCAGTTGAACAGTCTCGGGCCCCTGACACTTATTGTATGGTCTCTTAACGTGCTAGTGACACCCCTGCTTTTCATTGGGGGGATGGTGCATCGTCTGCCAAGTCTTTTGCTTTCGTAGTGAGTGATTTTCGTGTGCAAGTTCGGTACTAGTCCCTCTAGGATTTTCCAGGTGTATATAATCATGTATCTCTCCCTCCTGCGTTCCAGGGAATACAGGTTTAGGAACCTCAAGCGCTCCCAGTAATTGAGGTGTTTTATCTCCGTTATGCGCGCCGTGAAAGTTCTCTGTACATTTTCTAGGTCGGCAATTTCACCTGCCTTGAAAGGTGCTGTTAGTGTGCAGCAATATTCCAGCCTAGATAGAACAAGTGACCTGAAGAGTGTCATCATGGGCTTGGCCTCCCTAGTTTTGAAGGTTCTCATTATCCATCCTGTCATTTTTCTAGCAGATGCGATTGATACAATGTTATGGTCCTTGAAGGTGAGATCCTCCGACATGATCACTCCCAGGTCTTTGACGTTGGTGTTTCGCTCTATTTTGTGGCCAGAATTTGTTTTGTACTCTGATGAAGATTTAATTTCCTCATGTTTACCATATCTGAGTAATTGAAATTTCTCATCGTTGAACTTCATATTGTTTTCTGCAGCCCACTGAAAGATTTGGTTGATGTCCGCCTGGAGCCTTGCAGTGTCTGCAATGGAAGACACTGTCATGCAGATTCGGGTGTCATCTGCAAAGGAAGACACGGTGCTGTGGCTGACATCCTTGTCTATGTCGGATATGAGGATGAGGAACAAGATGGGAGCGAATACTGTGCCTTGTGGAACAGAGCTTTTCACCGTAGCTGCCTCGGACTTTACTCTGTTGACGACTACTCTCTGTGTTCTGTTAGTGAGGAAATTATAGATCCATCGACCGACTTTTCCTGTTATTCCTTTAGCACGCATTTTGTGCGCTATTACGCCATGGTCACACTTGTCGAAGGCTTTTGCAAAGTCTGTATATATATATTACATCTGCATTCTTTTTGTCTTCTAGTGCATTTAGGACCTTGTCGTAGTGATCCAATAGTTGAGACAGACAGGAGCGACCTGTTCTAAACCCATGTTGCCCTGGGTTGTGTAACTGATGGGTTTCTAGATGGGTGGTGATCTTGCTTCTTAGGACCCTTTCAAAGATTTTTATGATATGGGATGTTAGTGCTATTGGTCTGTAGTTCTTTGCTGTTGCTTTACTGCCCCCTTTGTGGAGTGGGGCTATGTCTATTGTTTTTAGTAACTGAGGGACGACCCCCGTGTCCATGCTCCCTCTCCATAGGATGGAAAAGGCTCGTGATAGGGGCTTCTTGCAGTTCTTGATGAACACAGAGTTCCATGAGTCTGGCCCTGGGGCAGAGTGCATGGGCATGTCATTTATCGCCTGTTCGAAGTCATTTGGCGTCAGGATAACATCGGATAGGCTTGTGTTAATCAAATTTTGTGGCTCTCTCATAAAAAATTCATTTTGATCTTCGACTCTCAGTCTGGTTAACGGCTTGCTAAAAACTGAGTCATATTGGGACTTGAGTACCTCACTCATTTCCTTGCTGTCATCTGTGTAGGACCAATCTTGTTTAAGTAGGGGCCCAATACTGGACGTTGTTCTCGATTTTGATTTGGCATAGGAGAAGAAATACTTTGGGTTTCTTTCGATTTCATTTATGGCTTTCCAGTACACATTTCACTTACTTTATGCAGTTTCATTATGATAGGTCCCATTTCTGTTGGTAACTTTATATATGCACTATACATTTGCCTGAGGTGATCAATGAGGTTTACAACAACCTCATTATGTGAAAATAATTATTTATGCAAAAATAATTGTTAATTTTCTGATTCATCTTAGTACACCTGCCATGGACCTGGAATACATTTCTGCATAAAGCCAAGGATGCCTCTGTTAATTACATAAGGTTATTTTCTTTAGGAAACAAAGAGTTTACATTTAATTAAATAAAATTAATATACACTTGTAAGACAAATATGCGTACAATTTATTTCAGTTCTCACTCGAGCAACAGTGATGGGCGAGCCCCTACACAGGCACAGACCCATCAACAAATTCTGACCAGTTCATCAAATCAGCCACACAATGAACTTCAGTCTCAGCTACTATCACATATACGACAGCAGCCACTACTTCAGGTATATTCACAATCCAATGGTAATGCTGGTACCGAAGATTCAGCTCTCCCAACTCCTGATGTTCCAGATGTTGTACGAATCATTGATGAGCTCATCGGGGATCACTCTCCCACTAAGACTCCAGGTCAGTGGAGTGCAGGTGAATCAGACACAGACTGCAGAGTAGATCCTATTCAAGGTATGTGCCGCTCATCTTTAGAGTCTTGGTCAGGAAATTCCCCTTGTGGCATGAGAGCAGCAAATTCAAATATTCGTCATCATGCCACAAGCCCCTGGTCAATAAACTCTGCTAGTGTAGGAAAAATAGTGACAGTTCAAGAATTAGAAGCCTCTTTACACAGCAGGCATCAAAACCAGGTTCATGGAGCAAACTTTTCAGGTTCTGTGGTATCCAGGGCACCAGGAGGACCACCATTTTGTACTAAAGAGACCGAAAAATTAATTGCCAATAGAGAAATGGAGGAACCACTTATAAGGGAAAGGGGGGACGTTCCTCCGCCTCCTGGATTCAGTGGATTAAATAGGTTAGTGGATCCCATGGCACACTTAGAACTTAGAGAAGTTAATTCAGCTGGTTATCGAACGCCTAGCCTCCCACTATATCTAAGACGTGGTAGCCGAGAAACTTTGTCTAGTAGTGTTCGAAATTCACCACAGAATTCGCAATCTGTTATAGGAAGCAATAGCATCAGTAGCTCAGCTCCAGCTATGTGGCATCCCAGTGGTGATAATTTAAATTCCTCTGTATCTACACATGGAGAATTTGGTCTTAGAAATATTTCGTGTTCTCTTGGGGTATCTCCATCAGTTGCACTTAATGCACACAACCAAGACAGTAAAACATATGCTGGTGTTCTACGTTCTTCGCTTCAGCCGTCATCTTCAGATAAAGGAGATGACTCAAATTTTTCTCTTACGGATTTAACAGATAAAAAAATGTATGCATCAAGTAATCATCTTTACCAGTATTTTCCATAACATATGAGAGGACTATTGAGTATTGTGCAATTTGCCATTCTTCTACAATATTTTTATGCTCAGTATTTCTTTAGGTATTATGTGAAATGCATGATAAACATTTTGTACGAACTATATGTTAGGTCTATTATTAATGCATGACTTTTGTTGCAAGTGACCAGGATTCATTCATGTAGATGAATTTTGTGTGTTAGGAGTTAAATAAATAAGATGTACCGTATATAAATTTTATGCGAGATATAGAATTTACAAAGATGTGTTGTCAGAACTAATTTATTATGTCTAGTGATATAATAGATATATTTTTGTCTAGTAATGTGTCAATTTCCATTTTTTCTTTCATATTTAAGAAAGTAAATTTTTGTGTATTATTTCCATTGGAATAACGAAAGTTTTTGGAATTATTATTGCTCAGTTTCGAGAAGAAATTTGAGATATCATGAAGCATATTAGTACCTGATTATTATTCTACCGTATCTTTCTGGGACCACTAATGATTACTTTATTCTGTAAATTTTTTTTCTCTGTTAACGTGATTATGTCATAAGAGGTATGCTTTCTGAAACACAAAATGAGCCTGGCCTCAGGCTGAGCTTTGAGATTTTCAAAGCCCAGCCTCAGGGCAGATTTCGTTGTTGGCTGCCTTATCAACCAGACTGTTGATGCCAGCAGCCTGCTAACCTACAGTTGTGATTTCATTGATTCTGCATATCAAAAGCTTAGATTAACTGTTTTGAGTTGGATGAGAAATGATTATTGAGCAAGTTTTTACTTTCAAGTCTCAAGCTTCCATACTCAGTACATTATCTCCATAATTTCTTCTTTTATAAAATTTATTTTTACTTAAAGTGTCTACAGTTTTATGATTTCTGGGGAAAATGATGCACTGTTGTGAACAAAAATATGACAGATAATATTAGTTTAGGTGCTTGATTCTTTAAAAAAAGGAACTTGGGGGTATCTATGAATGTGTTGGTTTTTCAAAAGTACAGTATAGTCTTTTTGGTGCTGGGTTTTACAGTGTTTAATGTAATCTTTGAATATTTCTACCTGTGCTTGAATAAAAGTATTATCAACACTGAACAATGAAAGGAGAGTAACCACTTTGAACAAAAAAATAAAACACACACAATTAGATCTGTATATGGATTTGAACTGCACTCACTTCATTGAATTATGTATATTTTGACTGCAGTCAGAGCCATATTGAGGCCCCTTTTAAATTGCCAAAGAAGGCCTTTGACTGAGGCTCTTAACATACAAATCTCTTTTTTACCTCTATTTTTTTATTCCAAGTGGTTTTTCCTTTTCTACGTATAACCAGTTTTGAGAGGTCTATCCCCCCCCCTCACAGTCAGTCCTGTGACCATACTTTTTATTTTTTTTGACTGCCTGATCACCCTGGATGTTGCCAGAGGTCCACAGGCCTTCATAATCATTGCTAGTTCAGTTTCCTCTTGAAAATGTCTACCTTTATTCTGGTAACAACTTATCTCACTTTCCAGGGTTAAATCTGTGCATATTTTGAGCAATCACAATTTGTGCATACACTTGCCAAAAACATATTGCTATTTTTAGCATATAACTACTTCATGCTTTTACTTGGTATTGATTGTATTATACAATTATAATTATATGTCAGACAATATTGTTCATGCAGATTTATTAATTTAGTTTGAATAGTTTTGAGAGTTGCACGAAAATATTTTTAAGCCTAGGACATGGAGTAAGTGATCTTACCAAATAAATGCAGTCGTTCTGATCAGTTCATCAGGAATTATGTTCTTAGAAGTCCTGAGGGAGTAGAAACTTAATGATACAAAATTAAGTCTGCACAAAAATGTTCAAATTTAGGTTCATTGTGTGTTTCAGAGAAAATATCTCTGTAATGTATCACTGTATTTCAGGAACATATCTCAGTAATAATGTGGTTAATATTAACATTCATAAAAAATAATGAGAAGATTAAAGCAAAATTTGAGCTTGGGAAAGCCATTGAGCCAGAAAAACATTGGATAATCTAGTCTGTTCGTTAGCAGATCTTTGGCAAAAATGTTGGATAATGGAATCAGTTTGCTGGCTGTCCTTCAGTAAAAATCTTGGATTATTTAAATTTGTGAATATGAAGGTCACAGATTTGTAGGATGACTGTTACATGAAGAACAATTCTACATCAGAATTGTACTTCCCCTTTCTCTTGTTACATAGCAATTACTTTTTCATGCAAAGTTTCGTTATTTCAAAAATTAGTTCCATTGGATCCATACAGTGTACTGGCAACAGTGGTGAAGAAAAGATTAGTTACATTGGATCCGTATGGTGTACTGGTAAGTGGTGAAGAAAAGACAGGTTACAGAACCAGCTTTTATTGGGACAGCATTTTCATTCTACATTGAACTTTTTAAAGTTATAATAAAGCTCTACACAGCAAACTGTTAGCCTAAAAAAAAAACCTCCCCATTTTTCCATTGTTTGTTAGCTGCTTCTTCCTTGCAGCAAAATGAATGATTTTGAAAAAAACTTGTTTTTAGAAAAATTTAATTTACTGAAACTAAAGTTTCCAGTTTTTCTCACTGTTTCTTCTTTGGAAAAATATTGATAAAAGCTTCTAAATCTTGTAGATAATATTTATATTATGCTTTTGGGTAATTTTATTTGCATTGATTGATAAAACATTAATTAATATAAGATATTATTCAACTCATAATTAAAATTTGAGTTCCATGAACACTGGATCCATTTTTTTTTTTAAATATCTGTTCATTCATTCCAAACACTGTATTACCCCTGCAGGCTTGGCATTTTCTCATAAATGCAGCAGTAGTAGTAGTAATAGTAGTAGAAGTAGTAGTAGCAGCAGCAGCAGCAGTTACAGTTGCAGTAGTGTTCTTATATGCTTGGTGTTGCTTTTCTCAGTTTGTTTGCTAAGTGAAATATTTTTATTGTCTATACTGTACTCTTTATTATTTCAGTAATTGTTAGGCTTGTTGCCAGTCTACCATTGTAATTTGAATTATTTAGCAGTAGTAGATTTTTTTACTGATTTTATTTTCAAATATGTGCATTATATTTTGTCATAACATGTGGATTTTGTTTTTATATTAGCATAGTTTTGGTGAGGATGGTGTTCTTCCTAGTGAGGCTCTAATACTTGGATACATTTTGGTTTGAATTTGGTGTTATACCAAGGTAGTGTATCATTTGTGGTACTCTGTGGTGTATTGTTCCAGGTTAGTGTATCATTTGTGGTACTCTGTGGTGTATTATTCCAGGTTAGTGTATCATTTGTGGTACTCTGTGGCGTATTGTTCCAGGTTAGTGTATCATTTGTGGTACTCTGTGGTGTGTTGTCTCAGGTTAATGTATCATTTGTGGTGGTCAGTACAGGATAAAATCTATCTTTAGTGTTCATTAAGTTCTGCCTCTTTCAGTTAGATAAGATTCTCTTATTTCAGTTAAAAATATGTTCTCTAGAGGTCTGTAAGATTTGTAATTAACTATTTAAGTTTGTGATTCTTGAGTTCTTGCTATGTTGTCATCAGATGAATCTTTGTACTGAAGAGTTGGTTCTTGCTTTAGTATATTGAACCCCGAAATTTTTTCCTTCACTTTGCTTTGGTGGCTGTATATTTATGACAACATGAATTTCTAACTGAAGGTAGAATAATAGCTAGAAAGCTGTATTAAGAACTGCATCAGTAATAGATGTGGCCAGACTTCATTCAGATCAGGGGTCAGAACCCCTGATCTGAACTTGCTCTCAGGGTCAGAGAATTGAAAAAAAAAATTTCTTATGAAATGATAGAGAATCTATTTTTGAAGGTAATGAAACTAAAAGAACGAAATTTGATGGAAAACTTACAGACTTGCACTCTCGCAAAGTTAATGGTCTTGGCGATATTTACATGTTGGCGATTTCAACCACTTTGAGGCATATTTTCGGCCATTTCCATTATTCCAGTCAACCAAACTCATAACTATTTTGCTAGTATTCCTTCTATTCTATTGATTGAGTACAAGAAACTGGCCATTTACCTATTTCAACTACCCAATAAAGTGATCAGAAATTGGTAATTTGGCCAATTTCACACAAAATGAAAAATATGCCAATTTAACCCTTAAACTGTCCAAACATAGATCTACCTTTTTTCAACATTTGAAAGTATGTAAAAAAACGTAGATCTTCTTTATTTTTACATTTGAAAGCGTGTAAAAATAGCTTTCATCTACATTTTTTTTTATATTTGAAATTATGTAAAAAAATGTAGATCTACTTTCGGAGCACTACGCATGTGAACGTAGATCTATGTTTGGACAGTTTAAGGGTTAAAAGCAGGGGTCCAGAATGAACAGTGTAGACATTCCTGGCACTAAAACAACATTTCCTCTGTTTATTAGTCACGTCCTCAGGCCTTTCCTATATTACACTTGCTTTCTGTTTTGAATTTTTATTCGCACAAAAAATAAATGATTTACCGTTATGCACACTACTGCATTATTGTAATAACTGTATAAATATTGTCGGTGCATTTGCAAACACGTATTAGACTGAGCAGTTGGATGCATATTGGTCAAGTGACGTAATTTGTGTGCTCTGGAATATCAACAAAAATAAAAAAATCTGCTATATTGAGCTCAATTTCGAGCTACTTTCAGTCCTGAAAACAATCAAAATCATCTCTCTTTCTATAATATATTTCCATTCTATCATATGAGACCAAGAATACAACAATAAAAACCATACAAGACTACACCACAAAGTCGTTGTTTTAAATCAAAAACATGGTCACATTTTTTTCCCCATTATGCACTGCTTGCTGCAGGATTTTTTAAACTAGAAAGAGAAAGGTGCTCCCTATACAGGCAAAGGCAAAGAATAACAGAGCGTCTAAAACAGGTCGATATTTATTTATTTATTTATTTATTTAAAAATTTGAGCACACATACAGAGGTACAAAAAATACAGATAAGAGCAGCATGCTAAAGCCACTTATACTATGCATAGCATTACGGGCTGGCTTAAAATTAACTTAAGATGAACTAAGCAATGATGACATCAGTGATAAAACTTTAATGTATACAGATTACTATAAAGCACAAGTGAGTATTACAAAGACAGGTCATATGGTTGTATGCATTGTTGTACATTCAGTAGAATGGAGTATTCTGTTAGGTAGTGTATTTAAAAAATAATAAAGTTAGATTGGGTTTTAGGTTTAACATTTATGTGATATAATTGTGAGAAACATTTAAGATATACAATTTATAAGGTTCAGTTATTCAGTATTTATTTGGTTTTGGGTGAGTAAGTGATCTTTGAGAAGAGACTTGAATTTATAAACAGGTAGTGTTTCTTTTATATTTACAGGTAATGAGTTCCAGATTTTAGGGCCTTTTATGTGCATTGAGTTTTTGCATAGTGTGAGATGGACATGAGGAACATCAAAGAGTGATCTGTGCCTTGTGTTATGGTCATGTGTTCTGTTGAGGTTGGCAAGGAGATGTTTGAGGGGAGGGTTAATATCAGAGTTAAGTGTTCTGTGTATGTAATAGGTGCAGTAATAAGTATGAATGTTTTGTATGGTGAATAGGTTTAGTGTATTGAATATTGGTGGAGTGTGCTGCCTATAGTGAGAATTTGTTATCATTCTAACTGCAGCCTTTTGTTGGGTAATTAGTGGTCTGAGATGGTTACTTGTTGTTGAGCCCCATGCACAAATTCCATAGGTGAGATAGGGGTAAATAAGAGAGTGATATAGGGCCAGGAGGGCTGACTGTGGAGCATAGTACCGTATCTTCGATAGTATGCCTACAGTCTTGGAAATTTTCTTAGAAATTTGTTGTATACAGTGGACCCCCGCATAACGATGGCATCACATAGCGATTTTTCCGCATACCGCTTACTTTTATCGCAAAATTTTTGCCGCGCATACCGATTAAAAACCCGCTCACCGATTTTCGTCCGAGACGCGTCCAATGTGCCCTCACATGTGCCGCCCGTCCCATTGTTTACCAACCAGCCTCCGCGGTAACATCCAAGCATACACTCGGAATATTTCGTATTATTACAGTGTTTTCGGTGCTGTTTCTGGAAAATAAGTGACCATGGGCCCCAAGAAAGCTTCTAGTGCCAACCCTGTGGTAAAAAGGGTGAGAATTAGTATGGAAATTAAGAAAGATTTTGAAGGGTTTGGGGCTAACCCTGAGAAGCCTATGCCAGTTGTGGAATCCATTGTGCCTACTTCAAAGATTAAGGAAATGTGTGCACAGTGGGTTGAACTGCAAACCTTTATAGATGAAAATCACCCTGACACAGCTGTTGCAAGCCGTGCTGGTGACTATTTCAATGACAATGTTGTGGCCCATTTTAGACAAATCGTAAAGGAACGGGAGGTACAGAGCTCTATGGACAGATTTGTTGTGCGACAGAGGTCCAGTGACTCTCAAGCTGGTCCTAGTGGCATTAAAAGAAGAAGGGAAGTAACCCCGGAAAAGGACTTGCTACCTCAAGTCGTAATGGAAGGGGATTCCCCTTCTAAACAGTAAGAAGATAATGCTCTCCCCTCCTCCCATCCCATCAATCATCACCAGATCTTCAATAAAAGTAAGTGTCATGTAATTGTGCATGCCTTTTTCAGTTTGTGTGTATTAAAATTAACATTTCATGTGGTAAAAAAAAATTTTTTTCATACTTTTGGGCGTTTTGCACGGATTAATTTTATTTCCATTATTTCTTATGGGGAAAATTCATTCGCATAACGATTATTTCGCATAACAATTATCCCTCTTGCACGGATTAAAATCGTTAACCGGGGGTCCACTGTATGTGTATGAAATTTGTCATCTGTAATGTGAAGCGAGACACTGGTCAGAGAAGTAGCAAACATCGAACTTAAGCAGAAGGAATCTTTTAGGAGTCAAGAAATGCGGGAAGAACTAAAAGTCATGAATGAAATTGAAAGAAACCCAAAATATTTCTTTTATTATGCCAAATCTAAGTCGAGAACAACATCCAGTATTGGGTCTCTACTTAGACGAGATGGGTCCTACACATATGACAGCAAAGAAATGAATAAGCTGCTAGCCAGACTAAGAGTTGAAGACCTAAGTGAATTTTTTATGAACGAGACAGTTTGGTAGACTCAAACTTTTTTTTTTTTTTCAAAAAGTCGGCCGTCTCCCACCTAGGCAGGGTGACCCAAAAAGAAAGAAAATCCCCAAAAAGAAAATACTTTCATCATCATTCAACACTTTCACCTCATTCACACATAATCACTGTTTTTGCAGAGGTGCCCAGAACACAACAATTTAGAAGCATATACGTATAAAGATACACAACATATCCCTCCAAACTGCCAATATCCCGAACCCTTCCTTTAGAGTGCAGGCATTGTACTTCCCATTTCCAAGACTCAAGTCCGTCTATATAAAAATAACCGATTTCCCTGAATTTTTTTTTTTTTCAACAAGTCGGCCGTCTCCCACCGAGGCAGGGTGACCCAAAAAAGAAAGAAAATCCCCAAAAAGAAAATGCTTTCATCATCATTCACCACTTTCACCACACTCACACGTTATCACTGTTTTTGCAGAGGTGCTCAGAATACAACAGTTTAGAAGCATATACGTATAAAGATACACAACATATCCCTCCAAACTGCCAATATCCCGAACCCCTCCTTTAGAGTGCAGGCATTGTACTTCCCATTTCCAGGACTCAAGTCCGACTATATGAAAATAACTGGTTTCCCCGAATCCCTTCACTAAATATTACCCTGCTCACACTCCAACAGATCGTCAGGTCCCAAGTATCATTCGTCTCCATTCACTCCTATCTAACATGCGCACGCACGCTTGCTGGAAGTCCAAGCCCCTCGCCCACAAAACCTCCTTTACCCCCTCTCTCCAAAACTTTCGAGGACGACCCCTACCCCTCCTTCCTTCCCCTATAGATTTATATGCTTTCCATGTCATTCTACTTTGATCCATTCTCTCTAAATGACCAAACCACCTCAACAACCCCTCTTCTGCCCTCTGACTAATGCTTTTATTAACTCGACACCTTCTCCTAATTTCCACACTCCGAATTTTCTGCATAATATATACACTAAATATTATCCTGCTCACACTCCGACAGATCGTCAAGTCCCAAATACCATTCGTCTCCATTCACTCCTATCGAACACGCTCATGCACGCCTGCTGGAAGTCCAAGCCCCTTGCCCACAACCTTTTAGAGGATGACCCCTACCCTGCCTCTAACCTCTAACCTTTTAGAGGATGACCCCTACCCCGCCTTCCTTCTCCTACAGATTTAAATGCTCTCCATGTCATTCTACCTTGATCCATTCTCTCTAAATGACCAAACCACCTCAACAACCCCTCTTCAGCCCTCTGACTTATACTTTTATTAACTCCACACCTTCTCCTAATTTCCACACTCCGAATTTTCTGCATAATATATACACCACACATTGCCCTTAGACAGGACATCTCCACTGCCTCCAACCGCCTCCTCGCTGCTGCATTCACAACCCAAGCTTCACACCCATATAAGAGTGTTGGTACTACTATACTTTCATACATTCCCTTCTTTGCCTCCATAGATAACGTTTTTTGACTCCACATATACCTCAACGCACCACTCACCTTTTTTCCCTCATCAGTTCTATGATTAACCTCATCCTTCATAAATCCATCCGCCGACACGTCAACTCCCAAGTATCTGAAAATATTCACTTCTTCCATGCTCCTCCTCCCCAATTTGATATCCAATTTTTCTTTATCTAAATCATTTGATACCCTCATCACCTTATTCTTTTCTATGTTCACTTTCAACTTTCTACCTTTACACACTCCCAAACTCATCTACTAACCTTTGCAATTTTTCTTTAGAGTCTCCCATAAGCACAGTATCATCAGCAAAAAGTAACTGTGTCAATTCCCATTTTGTGTTTGATTCCCCATAATTTAATCCCACCCCTCTCCCGAACACCCTAGCATTTACTTCTTTTACAACCCCATCTATAAATATATTAAACAACCATGGTGACATTACACATCCCTGTCTAAGACCTACTTTTACAGGGAAGTAGTCTCCCTCTCTTCTACACACCCTAACCTGAGCCTCACTATCCTCATAAAAACTCTTTACAGCATTTAGTAACTTACCACCTATTCCATATGCTTGTAATATCTGCCACATTGCTCCCCTATCCACCCTACAATATGCCTTTTCTAAATCCATAAATGCAATAAAAACTTCCCTACCTTTATCTAAATACTGTTCACATATATGCTTCAATGTAAACACTTGATCTACACATTCCCTACCCACTCTGAAACCTTCTTGCTCATCTGCAATCCTACATTTTGTCTTGCCTCTAATTCTTTCAATAATACCCTACCGTACACTTTTCCTGGTATACTCAATACACTTATTCCTCTATAATTTTTACAATCTCTTTTGTCCCCCTTCCCTTTATATAAAGGGACTATACATGCTCTCTGCCAATCCCTAGGTACCTTCCCCTCTTTCATCCATTTATTAAACAAAAGTACCAACCACTCCAACACTATATCCCCCCCTGCTTTTAACATTTCTGTCATGATCCCATTTCTGTCATGATCCCAGCTGCTTTACCCCCTTTCATTCTACGTAATGCCTCACGTACCTCCCCCACACTTGCATTCTGCTCTTCTTTACTCTTAAAAGATGGTATACCTCCCTGGGCAGTGCATGAAATTACCACCTCCCTTTCTTCCTCAACATTTAAAAGTTCCTCAAAATATTCTCGCCATCTACCTAATACCTCCCTCTCCCCATCTACTAACTCCCCTACTCTGTTTTTAACTGACAAATCCATATGTTCCCTAGGCTTTCTTAACTTGTTTAACTCACTCCAAAATTTTTTCTTATTTTCATTAAAATTTTTTGACAGCACCTCTCCCACTCTATCATCTGCTCTACTTTTGCACTCTCTCACCACTTTCTTCACCTTTCTTTTACTCTCCATATACTCTGCTCTTCTTATAATACTTCTGCTTTGTAAAAAGCTCTCATAAGCTAAGTTTTTCTCTTTTATCACACCCTTTACTTCATCATTCCACCAGTCACTCCTCTTTCCTCCTGCCCCCACCCTCCTATAACCACAAACTTCTGCCCCACATTCTAATACTGCATTTTTAAAACTCATCCAACCCTCTTCAACCCCCCCCACTACTCATCTTTGCACTAGCCCACCTTTCTGCCAAAAGTCGCTTATATCTCACCCGAACTTCCTCCTCCCTTAGTTTATACACTTTCACTTCCCTCCTACTTGTTGCCACCTTCCTCTTGTCCCATCTACCTCTTACTCTAACTGTAGCTACAACTAAATAATGATCTGATATATCAGTTGCCCCTCTTTAAACATGTACATCCTGGAGCCTACCCATTAACCTTTTATCCACCAATACATAATCTATCAAACTACTTTCATTACATGCTACATCATACCTTGTATATTTATTTATCCTCTTTTTCATAAAATATGTATTACTTATTACCAAGTCTCTTTCTACTCATAGCTCAATTAAAGGCTCCCCATTTACATTTACCCCTGGCATCCCAAATTTACCTACTACTCCCTCCACAACATTTTTACCCACTTTAGCATTGAAATCCCCAACCACAAGTACTCTCACACTTGGTTCAAAACTCCCCATGCATTCACTCAACATTTCCCAAAATCTCTCTCTCTCCTTTACACTTCTCTCTTCTCCAGGTGCATATACACTTACTATAACCCACTTTTCACATCCCACCTTTATTTTACTCCACATAATCCTTGAATTAATACATTTATAGTCCCTCTTTTCGTGCCATGTCTTATCCTTCAACATTATTGCTACTCCTTCTTTAGCTCTAACTCTATTTGAAACCCCTGGCCTGATATTATTATTATTATTCTGATGCCAAATGACTTCAAAAAGACAATAAATGACATGCCCATGAACTGTGCCCCAGGCCGAGACTCATGGAAATCCGTGTTCTTCAAGAACTGCAAGAAACCCTTATCATGTGCCTTTAACATCCTATTTAGAAAGAGCACGGACACAGGGGTCATCCCATAGCTGCTAAAAACAACAGATATAGCCCCAGTGCACAAAGGGGGCAGTATAGCAATAGCAAAGAACTACAGACTGATAGGTTAACATCCCATATCATAAAAATCCTTGAAAAGGTTCTAAGAAGCAAGATCACCACTTATCTAGATACCCATCAGTTACACAACCCAGGGCAACATGGGTTTAGAGCAGGTTGCTCCTGCCTGTCCTAACTACTGGACCACTATGACAAGGTCCTGGATGCTCTAGAAGACAACCAAAATGCAGATGTTGTATACAAAGACTTTGCGAAAGCCTTTGACAAGCATGACCATGGTGTAACAGCGCATAAAATGCATGATAAAAGAATAACAGGAAAAGTTGGTAGGTGGATCTATAATTTCCTAACAAATAGAACACAGAGTAGTAGTAGTAAACAGTAAAGTCTGAGGTGGCTACTGTGAAATACTCTGTTCCACAAGGCACAGTACTCGCTCCCATCCTGTTCTTCATCCTCGTATCTGACATAGACAGGGATGTAAACCACAGCACTGTGTCTTCCTTGGTAGATGACACCCAAATTTGCATGACAGTGTCCTCCATTGAGGACACTGCAAGACTTCAGGCGGACATCAACCAAAACTTTAAATTGGCTGCAGAAAACAATGTGAAGTTCAATGATGAGAAATTTCAATTACTCCGATATGGAAAACATAAGGAAATTAAAACTGTATCGGAGTATAAACCAAATTCCAACCACACAATAGAGCAAAAAACTAATGTAAAAGACTTGGGAGTGATAATGTCAGAGGATCTCACTTTCAAAGACCACAACATTGTATCAGTTGCATCTGCTAGTAAAATGACAGGATGGAAAATGAGAACCTTCAAAACCATGAATGCCAAACCCATGATGACACTCTTCAAGTTACTTGTTCTATATAGGCTGGAATATTGCTGCACAATAACGGCACCTTTTAAGGCAGGTGAAATTGCTGACCTAGAAAATGTACAGAGAACCGGCACGTCACACATACGTAACTGCGATCAAGCTCCTCAGTTGCTGGGAATGCTTGAAGTTCCTCAACCTGTACTCTCTAGAATGCAGGCCAGAGAGATACATGATTATATACATTTGGAAAGTCATAAAGGGATTAGTACCAAACTTGCACATGAAAATCACTCCCTATGAAAGCAAAAAACTCGGCAGACTATGCAACATCCCCCCAATGATAAGCAGGGGTGCCAATAGCACGATAAGAGACAACACAAGTGTCAGGGGTCCTGGACTGTTCAACTGCCTCCCAGCATACATAACGGGGATTACCAGTTGACCCCTGCTAACTTCAAGAAGGCACTGGACAGGCACTTAACCCTTAAACAGTCCAAACGTATATATACGTTCACTCGCGTAGCGCCCCAACTTTTTTGAGGAAAAAACAATCTTTTCTTTTAAAAGGAAAAAAGAGCATATGGTACCCAGGCATCCCCAATTATTTTAATATGACACAGTGAGTGCACACACCCATTCTCTCATGTCTAGGTGACTCAGGCTTAATATGGCAATGTTGAATGAATGACAAAGAAAACGTATATATACGTGTGGGGCGCTATGCGCGTGGACGTATATATACGTTTGTACCGTTTAAGGGTTAAAGTCAGTACAGTGGAACCTCAAAAATCGAACTTAATCCGTTCCAGGAGCTAGTTCTAAATTCGAAAAGTCTGAAATTCGAAGCAATATTTCCCATAAGAAATAATGTAAATACAATTAATCCGTTCCAGAAACCCAAAAATATTCACACAAAAAATACATTTTATAGAGATTAATTACAGTTTTACATACAACAAATACTGTAGTTTTTAATTATGTATAGTAATACATATAAAATAACATTTTTACTTACCTTTATTGAAGATTGGTGATGGCATCTGGAAGACAGGGAGGAGGAGAGAGGGAGTTGGGGTTAGTGTTTGGAAGGAGAATCCCCCTCCATGAGGACTTCAGGTAAAGCCCTCTCTGGGGTTACTTCCTTTCTCTGTCTTTTAATGCCACTAGGACCAGCTTGAGAGTCACTGGACCCCTGTCTCACAAAATAACTGTCAACAGTCCTCTGTTTCTGGTGCCTCTCTAACATTTCCCTAAAATGGGACATGGTTCTGTCACTGAACTTGTTGCAAAGATGGCTTGTTTCAACTTGCTCAGGGTGGTACTTCTGCACAAACATTTGGACATCATTCCACTTGGCACAAATCTCCTTAATCTTTGAAGAAGGCACCTCATCCACTCCCTATATTAACACCATTCGCAACATCAGCTTCCTTGATTTGTTCTTTCTTTGACAGGATAGAACCGATGGTCGACTTGTTTTTCCCATACATCCTGGCAAGCTCAACAAGTCTCACACCACTCTCATACTTCTGTATTATTTCCTTCTTCACATCTATGGTGTTTCTCACTTTCTTTACCACAGGGGTACCACTAGCAAGTTTCTTTGGGCCCATGGCAGCTTATTTCATAGTCCCACAAGCACTAAACACAACGAAATAATCGTAAAATGCGTGAATGAGAGCGCAGGTTAGTGTTCACTCAACCATAAACAAAGCTAGACTGCTCACAGCGCCTGCGCAGGGACACGGACAGAGCAGGCAGCAGACAGGTCCCATACCCGGCAGTCTTAAAAGAGGGGCGCGTTCAATAATAGGGACACAGTTTGTCCAAAAAATGGTCCTATTTTCGAAACGTTCGATACGTGATACGTTCGATTTTTGAGGTTCCACTGTACCTGACCACCCGGGCTGTGGTTTGTATGTCAGGTTGTGTGCAGCCAACAGTAACAGCTTTGTTGATCAGGCCGATCCACCATGAGGCCTGGTCAGAGACTGGGCCATTGGGGCATTGACTCGTGAAACCCTCTCCAGGTATAGTGCACACATACTATATAGCTCCATTCTCTCATATCTAGGCCCAGATTTATCTCTCACAGCTTATCTGAATGAGCTGAGGTCATGGTGTAGAACTATGGGACCAACCCTGGGCTTCAAAGCCATAGTACTACAGGACAGACTCTAAAAAGGTTTACATCAGTTATCCTTGTGGATTATAATTTAATCCTATCTTTAGGCTGTGAATAAAAGTGTTTTTTTTCTCCTTGAATTTACAAGAGTGCAGCAACACAAAAATAAATTACAGCTATTTGCAAACTGCAATTGTTCTACCAATTTTGTTCCCAAATGTGTGCATTTTAACTTGAGGCATTTATAAGTTGAGGACCTTCATTTTGCAGTGATAACTTTAGTATACTGGTTTTATAATGTTTAATACAGGTTGTATTACTGGTCTGCATGGTTACCACTCTTCTCTTTAACCCTTTCACTGTCGGTCCCATAATATTATGGCTTGCAAGCTTGTGTCGATCCCGTAATAGTACACCAAAATTCTAGTGGCTTTCAGTCTTGCGGGAGAAAGCTGGCAGGCCTACATGTGAGAGAATAGGTCTGAGTGGTCGGTGTGCACAGTACAAAAAAATCCTGCAGCACACATTACATAATGAGAAAAATAAACTCCGACCGTGTTTTTCATTTATAACCAATTTTACAGTGTCTTTTCGTGTGGTATTTATGGTTGTATTCTCGTTTTCTTGGTCTCATTTGATAGAATGGAAGATATATTACAAAACTAGAGATGATTTTGAATGGTTTACGCACTTAAAGTATGTACAGTGGTCCCTCGTTTTTCGTAATTAATCCGTTCCTGGAAGTGTGACTATTATCGAAATTGACGATTTTTGAATCCATTTTCCCCATAAGAAATAATGTAAATCCAATTAATTTGTTCCAGACACCCAGAAGTATCAACATTTTTTTTTTTTACCTTAGATAGATTTTTTTTTTTTTTTTTTCAACAAGTCGGTCGTCTTCCACCGAGGCAGGGTGACCCAAAAAAAGAAAGAAAATCCCCAAAAAGAAAATACTTTCATCATCATTCAACACTTTCACCACACTCACACATTATCACTGCTTTTGCAGAGGTGCTCGGAATACAACAGCTTAGAAGCATATACGTATAAAGATACACAACATATCCCTCCAAACTGCCAGTAGATTTACATGCACAAAAGAATAAACATTCAACATGACAGCTACCTTTATTGAAGGCTGTTGTTGATGAATGGAAGACAGGGAGGAGGAGAGTGGGAAGAGAGGTTATTGTTTGGAAGGGAAATCCCCTTCCATAAGGGCTCTAGGTCACTTCAGGGGTCACTTCCCTAGCATAAATATAGATTTACATGCAGAAAAAATGCCCAATAAATGTAAAGCACTAATAAAATGTAAATGAACATTGGTGATAGGGGTAGTTGATGAGTGGAACGGTCTGCCTAGTAGGGGGATCGAAGCTAAAACATTGGGTTGGTTTGAATCGGGCTTGCACATGAGTAAATAGGTTTATCAAAGCTTATTGCTTGGGTAGCAGTTATGCTGTTAGTGGGTTGGATTTGTGAAGGACCTGCCTAGTATGGGCCAACAGGCCTATTGCAGTGTTCCTCCTTTCTTATGTTCTAAAAGCTATGGCTTGGGTAGTTTCAAATTTAGGTTAGATAAATACATGAGTGAGAGGAGTTGGATTTGAGTCAGACTTGCACCTGAGCTTTTTACTTGGGTAGCATTTGTTCTGTTAGTGGGTTGGATTTGTGAAGGACCTGCCTAGTATGGGCCACCAGGCCTGTTGCAGTGTTCCTCCTTTCTTAAGTTCTTATGTTCTTATTTAACATCACACTTACCTTTATTGAAGACTTGGTTGTGTGAGGGAGGGATGGCGAGTTTATTGTTGGAGAATATGACACTAATATCAACTCTGCGGCTTATTTATCTATCACAATTCAACTAATATGACATCATAAACAATATTAATAACATAGAAACATGTAATTTACTCTAGAATGATTAAAATAAGTCATTATGTATGTCACAAGGTGTTGTGTTGTATTGTTGTTGGGTGTTTAAGGACCACTGAGAGTAAGCCGTCCATAATGGTGGTGAAGCAGCAGCTGAGGCGGTGGTGTTTTCTGTAGCCCTATATAACTCCAACAACATTGGAGGAGTTAGCAGTATCGCTGAATCACTGAAGAAGGCACCCTCTACCACCATCACAACCACTACCACCGTCTACCACCATCACTACCACCTTCTACCACTATTGCAACTGCTACCACCATCACTACCACCTTCTACCACTATTACAACTGCTACCACCATCACTACTACCTTCTACCACTATTACAACTGCTACCACCATCACTACCTACCACCTTCTACCACCATCACTACCACCCTATACCACCATCAACCACTATCACAACTGCTTCCACTCTACCACCACCACCTTCATATTTTTCTACAAACTTTTTCTTAAATTATGTGTGTTTCTCACATTCTTTACCAAAGGGCTGGCACTAGAAGGTTTCTTTGGACCCATGGTGACTTATTTAGCAGTTGCAAGCATTAAAATAAATGGAATATTATGAAATGTATCATATGAACTCGTGGGATCATCCTCACTCCCTGATAAACAATGGCACACTGGCTGGGAATGGAGTGTGAGGCAGCTCAAGGCTGTGTGTACACGTCCAAGACGAACGACTATTTGCGAGTCAAACGATGATTCACGAGCCAATGTTTTGATGAAAATAACGTTATGATTTTCGAAAATTATGACTATCGAGCCTTAGGATTATCGAGGGACCACTGTACCTCAAAATTGAGCTCAAAGTAGCGGAAATGTTTGATTTTTGCTGATGTTCAAGAGTAAACAAATCACGTCAAATCACTGGTAGGTCTAATATGCTTTCACAATTGTGCTGATATTATTTATATCATTTTTATAATAATGCAGTAGTCTGCATAACAGTAATCTTCTATTTTTTGAGTGAAAAAAATTCAAAATGGAAAGCAAGCATAATATAAGAGGGGCCTTGAGATGTGACTAATGAACAGAGAAAATGTTATTTTAGTACTCAGGATGTTTGTATTGTTAATTCTGGACCCTATTTTGAAATTTACCTTCCTTGAATTGTGTATAAAATTGGCAGTTTACCAATTTCTGATCACTTTATTGGGTAACTGAAATCTGTAAATGGGCTGTTTCTTGTACTCATTTGATAGAAAAAAAGGAGTTCTAGTGAAATAGCTGCGAGTTTGGTCGACTGGAGCTTTGGAATTAGTTGAAAATAGGGCTCAAAGTGGGCAAAATTGCTGATGTGTAAGTATCTTCGAGACTGCTAACTTCGCGAAAGCGTAATTCCATAAGTTTTCCATCCAATTTCATACTTTTGGTGTCATTACCATTAGGAAAAGATTTTCTATCATTTCATGATTTTTTGTTTAATTCTTCAACACTGAGAGCAAGTTTGTAGCAGGAGTCTCAACAGTGAAAGGGTTAAGGGAATGGGGTCCCCTTGATACTGGTGAGGGGTTCTTGTTCCAGAGACTTTGTGCTGTCTCACCTCCCTAAGACAAAATCTGATTACCTCCCATATCCCAGGTAGTGTTTGACCTTTAAGATTTAGGCAGCTCCACATAATAATAATAATAATAATAATAATAATAATAATAATAATAATAATAATAATAATATACTAATACATTTTAACTATGATATCGCTTTGTACAAATTTAATTTAGGAATCTATGATCTAATTTGAAGAAAATCCTTACAAATCTTTTGTGATTGCTCAGTAACCAAGTCTTTAAAGTTTGGATATAAAGAGTCCTTCAGTGAGGGTACTTGATGCTGGTTCCTCTTGATTCCTGGAATTGGAGCTATCCTCCTCTTCTTGGATCAAGCTTGGTAAGTTCTCTTTCCCTAGAGGCTGTATCATCTTAGTGCTTTAATGCTTCTTCACAAACATAATAAATATTTTTGCTCTAACAGCAGTTTTTTTTTCAACTATATTTGTTAATATTTTTAATAAGTAATTCCTAGTTTTTTTTTTTTTTAACCCACTGGCCTTCTCCCACTGAGGTATTGTAACCTGAAAAAGAAACACTTTCACCATCATTCATACTAACACTGTCTTGCCAGAGGTGTACAGATACAACAATTTAAATGACCCTCTGAACAGCAAGTATCTCCTCCCCTCCGTTAGAGTGCAGGCACTATACTTCCGACCTCCAAGACCTAAATCTGGCTAGCCAGTTTCCCTGAATCACTTCACAAAATATTACCCTTGCTCACACTCCAACAGCTCGCCAGGTCCCAAAAAGCACTTGGCGCCATTCACTCCTATCTAATACACTCACATATGCCTGCTGGATGTCCAAGCCCCTTGCACACAAAGCTTACCCCCTCCCTCCATCCTTTCCTAGGGTGACCCCTACCTTCCCTCCACTACAGATTTATACACCCTCCAAGTCATCTTATCTTGCTCCATCCTCCATGCTTTACTTATGGCTTGAATAACCTTTGGGCCTTTGCTATATTTTTGTGCATTTTTTATAGTAATTT